TTTCCTGCTGCGAAGTCTCTGAGCACCACGAAAGTGACCGCCCGCATCAGTGAACTGGGGGCCGCGGTCACAGCTCCGCACCACTAGCACAGAATCCCTGGGGAACGCGAGTTCCAATCTTGATGGCTTCAGGCTTGTTTTTGGTTCTCAGGGCTCCTGCCGCTGGCACATCCTGTCTTTGTAGAGTAGGTAGGGTGGGGTGCTGAGGGGTTACCTCCAGCTAGCCCACTGCTGACCCACGGTCCGTGGTCCGTCCCTCACCTCCCTGCAGGGGAGCCTCCTTCCTGCCTCAGGCTGTTAAACCCCCAAACACACCGCCCCATTCTGACTTTGTGAACTCTGTCTTCCCTACTTATGTGAAATTCATGCTAAATGCAAAATTGCTTAAATGACACTGGCATTAAAGAGGGCAGGAGGAGAAGAAAGCATAAGAAACATGCAGCCAGCACTGACTACCCCAGCCCACTCCCTCTTCCTCCCCTGCCGGCAGGAAACTGATCTTCCCCGCTGGAAATCATGGAAAAGCAACTCTTGTGAGCTCCCGTCGAGGCTCGCCCCTGAACATCTAACAAATCATGGCCGTTCCGGACCCCTTCCCAGGGCTGGTTTGCACATTGGCATGTGCCCAGGGTCTCGTCAGTGACACAGAGAGCAATCCACAGGGGTGATACTGTGGGGATTTCTTTTCTGATGAGAAGAGAGCAAATAGGACACCCTCGTTTCTCACAGGGGATATTATGATTTTGTTGTCTGGTGTGAGTCCTGGAACTGCTGAAGCCACCTGGCAACAGGGAAAGCTGCCAGGGGACAAGCCAGCCTGCTGGCAGTGGTGGGGAGAGAAAGCGCAAGGGGCCCAAAGATGCCACCAGGCCGTGAGCCCGTCTCGCCTTGGGCTCTTACGACGTGAGAGAGGGTATTGTCTTTGTTGAAGCCAGTTCTTCTGGGCTTTCTGTTACTCTCTGAACGGAACCCAGGGAAATGCAGTGTCTTCAAGAGGAAAATAACCTAAAGATATGCCTAGAAAAGGAGAGAGAACGGGGGGGAAGGGAGACATGGGTTGCTTAATGATGGATTCAGGATGTATTTTATTCTACTGTTTTATAAGAATGGCCTATTCTTTAACTTACCTAAAAGCTGATTTTAACATTCACCTGATAAACTTTTGCACAAAAAATGTTAGTGCTGCCCAGACTACACAACGGCAGCCTTTACCCAGAGTGAACCAAAATCACTTCACATTTTTGTCAAACGCCTCAAGTTTATCAGATAGTCACACTGGAAATCAAACCTGACTCCCACCCTACAGTACAAAGTAGGGGGCTTACCCTGGGCATGATCAGGAAAAGAAAATCAATGTTCATTGTTCAAATCATTAGCTCCCATTAACTGACACACCGCATCTCCCACACGATGATTAGCTGCAGGGAATTCTGACCAATAGCGGGAACTGTCTACTGAGACTGAATTTGAGAGAGAATGTCAAAGTGCTTTTACTTTTGATGAACTAAAGGGGAAAAATCCCTCAAATCTTTCCCTAGTGAGGTAGCCTCTTTACAAGGACCTCAAACCCAATCATACCAGAAGTGGGAACCCTGCAAAGCCATGATAAGCCCTTAAAACTGTACTACGTCCAACGCAGAATTCAGAGCGCATTGTGCAGCCAGGGCCAGTAAGCACGCATATTCCCCTGTAGTTCTGCAGCAGTTACCCTACGGAGAGGGACTGCCCACAGACATTTCTCTAGAGCCATAATTAGAAAGCATGGTGCCGTGATCTAAAAGCTCAAATCCTTATTTTAAAACAATTCTTTCATTCCTCGCACTCAGAACTGGGGCTTTTCTAAAGCTCACGTTTGTGATTTTACAAAACATATTCTCAAGCATTTTAACCTTTCTCTTCTCTGCAATTGAAGGAGTCTATCTTCATCTTTCTCCTTAAAAATAAAATAGGCTTTGGTTTTGCCTTTTGCCTTGTAAATGTCTCCCTGCCTACGTCACCAACACTGTCAGGAAAATACCTCTCTCGTCCTGTCTCGACTCATTGTCCTCAATTTTCTTCTTTCTTCTGATGATTCAGAAGCACTGGGATGACAGATGTGACTTTTCCGGCAAAGACTGCGGCTGATGAACGGCACGGCCAGTGCGCCTTCAGCTTCGCCCACGGGAACCAGGTCCTCTGCGCCCTCTCTAGGGGGACATTCTGACCCTCTCGATTTGGTTTCCTACTACAGGGCTGTCTCTGTACAGATCGCTGCAGAGCGCCTCGCGAATGTCAATTACCGGACGCCAAACTATTAAGGGAGAAGAATACTGAGAGGCAGGCCTGCTGCGCCGTTCACCACGGTGACCGACAGGACACACTTGACCTCCTTTGACAAACACTGAGCCAGCTCTGGGCCTAGCTGCATAAAGGACTGGGGACAGGAGGGCAGTGAGTCCCCAGACCCTAGAGCCAGACAGACCCATGAATCACAGCTCCACTCCTTGCTAGCTGGCTGACCCTGATCACATAATTTAACTTCACAAATCTCCACTTTTGTCATCCTTAAAATAGCTCTGGGGGATAGTTCCTCCATGGAGGAATTAATATCTTTTACTTATTCCAGGGTGCTTGAAATGGTTAAATGAGACACTCTCTACATAATTTCACCCCCTGCCTGCAACACAGCAGGGACTCAAAGTCTGCGAATGGCCGAATGGCCGTGCAGAGGGTCCGGCCCTGCTGCTCACTGGCCAGTCTCCTCACTGGCTCCCCCAGCCTGCACCACGTGGAGATCTTCACCCGTGTCTGCACTCCCACTATCTCCTCTGTTTCCCTGGCAGTGTAACCCCATTTCCCAGGATCATTTCTCTCGTCTCTTTCTTCCCTGTTCCCTCGAGTAACCTTTCTCTTGGGCCCCCTTCTCGCTACGGCTCCTTCACTGGACGTGTACCAGGAGCCCACACCAGGTGGCCACTGAGCTGGGTGCTGGGGACAGACAAGGAACAGACTCCCACCTTAGGGAACAAGTGAGAGAGGAAAGAGCCCATCATGGTGTGGGGAGGTAAGTCCTACAACAGAGCTCCAGGCTGGGCGCTGCGGCAGCACAGAGGAAGCACAGTCTGCAGGCACGGGAGACCAGCAGAAAGGGACTGTGGGCCTGCTGTGTGTCAGATGCCACGTTAGCCACGTGCAACACTTCGGTAACCACTCAGAGCAGTGACACGAGGTAGGCAGGGCCATCTCTGAGAAGACAAGAGATTCTCATACTCTGCCTGAGAGCATCCGAACAGAGACAGTTTATTTACTTACTGTACACCAGGCTTAGCAATAAGCAAATATATTCTAAATCATTTTACTCATCGCATCTACCCTATACCATTACTTTGTCCATTTTACTGAGCCACAAAAAGATTAGGTGGTCCATGGTAACACAACTAGTCAGTGATGAGATCATTTAAATCAGCAAAATATATACACACTAACTGTCCCACAACAGGAGAGAAAGCTGGGAAGGAGCCGTCTGAAGGAATAACAGCCAGATATTAAAAAAGTGTGTCTTAGTGGGTGGAAAAAGTACTGATCTAATGGTCAATGTTTAAAAAGGCAGAATATGGAACTATATACGTAATATATCAATTTTGTCTTTATTTGAGCCCTTACCTATATAGGAAAAGACTAGAAGAAAATAATTCAAAATGTTAAGGTCTCAAAATGTCAGGATTACTGGTGATTCGTGTATCTTCCCTTTGTATTTGTCTGCATTTTCCAAGTCATTTCAATCTCTATTTTATTTGGATACAGATCTTTACATAAATGTGTCATGTGATCATACGTCTATAGTTTGTTTTCTCCTTTTTCGCTTGATTCTCGCACTCACACGATGGCCAGCTTTGTTCATGCACCAATAAATACTTCACATGAACCCCTCCAAGCCACCCAGTAAGGCTCTACACTCAGCTATTTTTACCGGCTGCCTTAAAGGCAATGAAGTGGAGACCCTGTCATTTATTTAGCCATTCCCCAACTGCTGGCTATTCCCTCTTGCCATTTGTTTGCCTTTTAAAGAAATGCTCCAGGGATGCATCCTTAAACCCAGGCCGGGCTCAGCCCCAGCGGAATGCGTTAGTCCCTGAACACGCCTCAGGCCCCCATGCCTCCACGGCTTCTGTGTGCCACTTCCTCCCGGGAATACCCTGGCTGCTTGGCTAAAACTTTAATTTGCCCCCAAGGATGTTCAAGGGCCGTTTCCCCTGGGAAGTTCCCTCTCATCTTTGCAGGACGGATGGATTCGCGCCCCAGCATCCTAAGGTTAGTGCTGGCGGACAATTACCACTGTGTGTCTCTTGCAGCAAACAGAACCGGGCGAGGCTGGCTCTGCATCCGCGGTGACTCCAGCACCTTGCAGCTGATGGAACATACGGACGGGTGGATGAACGGGCAAATAAAGAGATGATCAGGCAGAGGCTTGAAACATCATGATGTTTGGGGAAACTTCACGTAGTTCTTCGTAGCCAGTGCATAGAGTGGATGTGAAGGTTGGGAGAGGTTAGATCAGAGAGGTGAAAAAAATAAAAGATCAAACCCTCAAGGGTCTTGTGGCTCCAACTTAGAGGTAAACTTAATTCTAAAGGGTATGGCAGATCGCTGAAGAATTTTAAGCAGCAAAATGTGATCACTGGTTTTTTTTTTTTCAGTTCTTCAGGCAGGAGCGTAGCCCACAGACTGGAGGAAGCTGAGTACAGGCCCGGATCCACGGGGAGACCACAGCAGCGGTCAGCGAGGGAAATGAGGGCCACCTGCGGGCCAGTCGTCGGGCTAGACGCGTCACACGTGCTCTCCTTTGACCCTGCCACCGTCCCCAGAGGCGCGTACAGGCTGCCCCGAGCCGAGGCCACACTGTGGACGGGAACAAAGAGCTCTCTGGTGTGACACGGTGAAGAAGGGGGTGCAGGTCCAGCGGGGAGGGGACGCCCGTGCCCAGGAAAGAAAGCAATGAGCTTGTCGACAGCACAGGTGTGGCAGGTAAATCAGAGGGAGGGTTTTAAAATGATACCCAAATTTCTGATTTAGCAAGTTGGTGGTCATTCATCACAAAAGGGGGGCATTTGAAATAAAAGATACTGAGTTCCTTTAGGGACATGATAAATCGGGGCTGCCCCTACAATCTGTTGCTATTTTATCTGTGCTTACATCATTCGTGGATATAAGGCATCACTGACTTGTGTTTAAAGTCCTTTGCATTCCCCAGTGCAAACTTTTCCAGCCATCAATATCAGTAGTGATAAATGATAGTTATCGAATGACCACCATGTATGAGGCATCCACATCATTTAACTCATAAAATAATTTTTCAGGGCAGAATCTTATAGTGGCTAAGACCTTGAGCATTGAAGTCAAACATGGACTTGAGTTCAGCTCTATCATTTTCTACCTGTGTAGCACTGGGCAAATTATTTAAAATGTCCTATTTTTTTAGTATGTAAAATAGGAATAAAATAATTACTTTGAGGATTAAGTGATAGAATGTATATAGAGTACTTAGTGGAGTGCCTGACATATAATATGTGCTCAATAAATGTGGAAGTCATACAGGAGGGTGGACAGGTAAAGAGAGATTGGAAAACTAGTTGAAAATCATATGGCTAGTAACAGAGTCATTCTAAGTCTCATATGTATTCTGATATTAATATAATTAATGGGAATAAATAAACTTTAAGATCACAATAAAGGCAAAAAGGCACTGCATTCAAACATCACAGTAAAGCTTATGTAGCCATGGAAGTTTACAAAGAAAGAATGGATAATTGAAATCTCACGATTCCAAATGTTTTATTTACCCAAAATCTCAACTTTCTAAACATAGAAAAATCAGATAGTTTGTGGCTTTCTGGAAAATTAAAAAGGTCTTGAAAAATCTAACACGGATTAGTATCTAAATAAATAATGCTTGCGGGTGTAACATTTTAGATTCATGGAAATGAAAATAATTGGTAGAAAGCTGGCCTACGTTGTGAAACTCATTTTTATTTATTCAATTTCATATAGTATAAGCGGACCTTTATAAATACCTTCAGTTTTTTTTCAACCTATCCTTTCTTTTTTGGTTTTATGCTTCTTTCCCAAAATATAATGGAACTGGTAACACTTGTGCACTGATGCCCTTATTTTATTACAGCCAGCATTGATGTTTGACTAATCACAGATTGCTGTGTGTTGAGAAATGAAGTAACAGTTATTTTTAAATTGTATTTTACTTATCATTTTTGATTAAACATTTTCTTTTATCACAAAGGATTGAGAGGACACAAAACAATGTCTATTAGAATAAGTGAGACACATCAAGATTGACTTAAATGACCACACAAAAGATCTGGCCATATAAAAGACTTCATTCTAGAGGGACACCTATTGTTTGAAAGATTATTTTATTCATATGGTCTACCAGATAATGTTGGGTAATATGTAACATTCAGCTTCATGAATTAAGAATGTCTGAGATCTATTTTGTGGCTCCACATTGTAAAAATAATTTTTGATTCCTAGAGAAATCCTGTCGATGTTCTAGGGAGTATTCTTTTAAAAATTGTTCAGATAATTCAGTTATTTGCCTAAATGTTTTAAAAAGCCTTAAATGGAAATGAAATGGTACCGAGTTTATCTCATTTACTCTAAATAAAGATATAAACCGTAAGTCATTAGGCACAGATCATAGATAGTGATAAACGTGGGGAACTCAACACAAGCCTGCCGAAGAATAAAGTCCTAAACATTTCAATTGCGAAAAGATTGACTAGGCTCTGTTTAATTATTAGTGCTATAAAAAGTGAGTAGTATTTACCTGGCCATAATAGTACTGTGTAAAAGTCACTTATCTTTCCTGCCAGATGCCACAATTCTCACAGTTATTAAAAAGAATGGGGAGAAATCTTTACCTAGTCACTCATTTCCCAAACCCACCATCCCACCGTCTTGCATAATTTGGGGGTTAGGTGGTTGTTAAGGAACCTGGTAAAAAAGAAGTGCCAACCCTAGTCCAGGTCCTTCATAAAACTGGCGACAAATGGCTTCGTTAGTGGAGAACACAAGCCAAATTGCACTAGTGACGACAGCTCGGCAGGAACCAGCCAGCTCGGTGTTTCTGCCTTCCATAAACTCCCCAATATCTGGTGTAATCAGTCCCTTGAGTAAGGAATCATTAAGGGTGCTTAGTCTTAAGTAACCCAAACTGTAAACAGACTTAAAGGCCCTTTCCAGTTTATGTTCATGTACAGCTCAGCAGAAATCCTATGTTACAAGAATATCAGTTCCTCACGTGTATGTCCAGTCTGAGAAGATCATATTCAGGAAGTTTACAGGGACTGTAACTCATTAACGAACTTCAACAGCATCTTGCAATATGGGTTCAGATGACATTGTTGGATGCCTTTTGGATTTTGGCAAAGACACCTTGGAGTCATTAGTTATCTGTCAATCATTTACAAATTCTTTCTGAAATCAGTTAGCAAATAATGTTTTATCATTTTAAACATGTACCCTTGTAAATGTGAGTCATTATAAATATGCCATGTGGTGGTGTCTGATGCGTTCGGCGGGATAGTGAAGATGTTAAAACAAAATGCCTTGATGGAAAATGCCCACATTGGCCAAAAAAAAAAATGGTTAGACTATGCCTTGATTGAGAAAAATAACTACTAAAAATTGAAGTTATGATTGGTTTTGTTTTTCCCCTAGCACAGTTGGAACGTAAATTGCTTATTAACTGCCTGCGCAGCTGAGTTCTGACCACCTGTTACTTGTGTCTCATGTAACGTTATTTATGCCGATTCTCTTTCACAAAAATATGTTCACTTCTCACAAAGTACTGGGTATGTATTTCTATTAAATCAGCCTGATAGATAAGCTTCAAAAGACCAAAGTAACTCATTAATGTAATGTTTCCTCAGCATGCCAGTAAGTTCTACGGGAAAGTAAGAGTGAAAATAGCAAATAGTATTTTTAAAAGGTGCTGGTAGGAGCTGTTAGGAACCTACTAATGCTATGATCCCTCTACTTTTGGTACATTTTGTGAAATAATTCTGTCTAATGAGAGGCATAAAAACAAAGCACTAAATTCAATCTATTTATTGTTACATGTTTCATTAGCTAAATACAGAAAGAAGAGAATGAAAGTCAATCACTATGTAATGGCCATTAAATTATAAGAATCACATGAGGTTTTTTATAGGGTGTCAAAAAGTATCTGTAACTAAGAACTAGTGTCGAAAGCAAAACACATAAACAAAAATCTTGCATATGTCTTCCAAACTATCATAATGGAAGATGTGTTTCTAAGACCTCAAGGCATGTGGTCCATATTTGTTTTTAATGACTTCTAAATATGTATTGAGCACTTTCTATATATTATCTCAAATTAGTTCTCACAACAAACATTGTATTCCTTAATTTTTGTCATTTTCATTTATGAAGAATTCAAGGCTTAGGGAGGTCAAGCATCACTTGGCCCCCAAGTAGGGGTCAAAGCAGGGATGGGAGGTATAAACTTTCTGATCCAAATCCCAGTGGCCACTACCTTCATTCCCACCACAAATCGCATGCGTTCTCAGGCTCAGCTGGAATGCATTCACCGATCACAACTGCGTGATTTCTCGGAGAAAACAATTAGGTTTATAGGCAGAGTTGGGAGAATTTGATGGGCAATGCTATCTTATGGATTGAAGAATCTGTAAAGCCTTAATAAATGAGTTTCCAACACTTTGGCATGTGTAAAAGAAAACCACATATTCCAAAGTAGTTACTGGTATAAAATATACAAAAAGATACGCCCTGAGTTTCCATCTAAAATTTAAAAATCGTATTTTGAAATCCACTATATATTTAAAAGAAAAAATTAATCTAAGCAACTACTACCTAGATGGTGTTCATACAAAGTGGAGTGGGTTAGTTATGTATACACAGGACCTTAAAGCTCAAAGGAAAACCAGCATGTTCATCAAACGCCCCCTCCCCTGACAGCCAGTATTACCAGCTCCCTCACTCTGTGCACACCTGTGCCAGTTGTAAGCTACCTACCTTCCATGAGCAGGTCTCTTCAACAGAATCTCCGCTGATGAGGCTATGTGGATATCTAACTTTCAACACGCATGTGGGCCACAGACATAGCTACGACCACTTCTCACCCTGACTTCCAGGAGCCACCCAAACTGGGTATAGAGGGGAGCCAGGGTTCAGAGCCTGCAACACAGATAAAAGGCAGTGAGTGGGGAGGGAGAGAGAGGTGGGAGGCCTTTCTTTATTCTCATTTCCCTTCTATCTGGTCTCTCTCCATATAGCGCTTTTATCATTCTGATGCTGTATTCCAAAGTTCCTACTGGAATAGAGTGAGACCTGAGGGGAAATGTCAACAAGAGTAATCAGAGTAAACAACAAGGAAAAAAAGGAATCATGAATTCTGGGATGTGAGTCTTCAATGACTGCTAAATCTATCACATGATAGGTGAAATCATGTCACAGCAAATGGCCATGTATGAGTTATATATTATCTACACACACACACACACCCTCCCTTGGTTAGTTCGTTTAAAAGAAGCATCAAAGTAATACTGTCTAAAACCACATTAAAGGCTTGAAAATATGCATGGACTTTAGTCACTGAGAAAAAGCAGATTCTGTTCCAGAAAAGTAAAGCAATAAAATAAAATTTCGATTTTAACATTGGAACTAGCTAGTGGCATGAATTTATTCTAACTAACCGAGCGTCCTCATCCAATCAGAATTTCAGAGAAGATCCCTTTCTTCTTCATCAACTGCACCCTAAGAATATGGCACTGATCCTTCCTAACTAAGGCCCAGCTCTGTGTCAGCTAGAGATAATGTGCCGATAGGGGCTTGCAAATTGTTTTCTGCCTTTATAAATTTTTCTTCTATATAAACTAAAACTGGGACATTAGCCTCATTAACATTCTAATTTTTCAAATTACCAATGTTAAGATATAACAGAATCATGCACTGGTAAAAGGTATATTTGAAGCATAAATAGGTCAATGAATTTTAAAGAAAAAGAGTACAGAAAGTTCACAGCTAGAATTTCGGGTCCCATATTTCGACTAATCTTTAAGAAGATATCACTGGCGGAGTTTTGGGTTAGAGTGAAAGAAAATATCCATAATTACCTGACAAAATTATTATAATACTCCTTTTTCTAATTTCCTATCTTGAAGACCATATTTTCTTATATATTTCAACCAAAGCAATATATTGCTACAAACTGAGTTCAGAAGCAGATATGCAAATCCAACTTTCTGTTAAGCTGAACATTAAAAAGACTTCTGGACATAAAAAATGCTGCTTTTTGTGAATTATTTTGTTTTGGAAAATAGTTTTTAAATGTAAAATGTTATTTATATTAAAATATTTTGATAACAACAAATTAATATACTTATAAATAACTAGTAATGTTTTTACTTTCTCAACCTTAATTCCTAATATAATACATACAGACAGATATAATTCACATAAGCAAAAATTTGGGGGAGGTCATAATTTTTATTTGCTGCGTCACAGTCACATGTCCTTTAACATATACATAGGTACATTTCTAGCATTATGTATTGTTTGATTATTTAATGAAAGAACTTCAAGGAACTGACATGGATGATTAAATCACCTGATCTGTTTAAGTTTGAAATACTAAATTATCTGCCCAACTAAAATACTTCATTTTCCAGCCTCCTTTGCAGCTAAGTATGAGTATGTGTTTAATTTTTGCCTAGCGATATGTAAGCAAAGTATGTTACTTTATTTTGTGGAATTTGTTTTTGTGGTAAATGTCCTTGAAAAGGAGTATCTGTTCTCTCCTCTTTCTCCATAGTGCTTCTTGGCAGTGATGGCTGGATCTCTAGCAACCATCTTGGGACATGAGGACAAGAGATAGAAAATAGTAAAATGAAAGGAATCAGGTCCTAGATAACTTCTCTGAACCATTACCATCCCTGGATTGCCTACTTCTGAACTTCTTTTCTAAGAGAGACATAAAAGTCCTATTTAAACCTCTGTTATGCTGGCCTTTCATTATATGCAGTCAAATCTAATCGCCTCCCTCCCAAAAAAATACAGTTCTGATAGGAAAAATGCTATATATAAATGCTTTGGGTTTTCCAAAGACAATCTGAGAGCAAAAAAATGTTTGCTCCTTTAGCAAAATTTAAAAAAAACAAGAAAACAACCATTACCACAACATGGGAAAAGGCATTCATTGCTCTAAGAATCTATATTTTATTACTTTAAAGAACAACAAGGATATTCAACAAGGGCCTAAAACGACCCTTAGGCATTTGGGTGATAGCTCTTTCACGGCAAAGGGTGATCCAGATTTTTTCCATGGATTCAAACAAAGAATAATAACTTAAAAATTATGGGATATATGTTACATATTCATCATTTTGTCAGCACAAATTAAAGTACAAGTTTTACTTTATTAGGGGTAAAGAGACAGGGCTGCCTTTCCAATCAATGGACAAATATACGAACAAGCTAAGGTTAACTCCTCAGCTAGTGAATAAGCACTATAAAAAAGTTGGTTGACAAAACATGAATAATTAAATGACCGTAAGCTTGGAAATGCTACCTGCAGTGTTTCAAAGTGTCAATCATCTCTCTAGTCATCACTTAAAGAATTAATGTCTGCCAATGTTATCAATCTAAAATATATTTACAGAGGTCAGAAGAGCTGTATCTGTCCTCCTCTATGCAAAGAAGTGATGACATCAAGGGGGTATGTCACAAGCCTAAGTTTAGTTAGTGGATTTAAGCTGGTTTGGAGTTTTATCCACTAAGTATGATCTTCTGACCCCTCAGTTTTACAACCTTCCACTCTCTGTGCTTCATAGCACCTCTCCACTTCTGAGTTAATCATTTCTGGGCCATTATCTGCCAAGAGTTCTTATCTCTTTTGCTGTCACTTTATAACAGGGTCCTCTTATCAACCTGCATAGAGTCATATGATCAGTCCAAGCCTATCAAAAGTTTCCATTCTTCTGATTAGAAACCATCATGAAACTGGATACATGGTTTACAGCAGGTCACTAATGCTAGAAAAAGTACAGAGTCCAGGGAAAGACTTGCTTGTAACTTTCTGAATTCTTGGATTTTCTTTTTTTTTTTTTTTTTTTGCTTTTTCTTAACTTTCACTTAGGGTTAGTCTGATGTGTCTTCCCCAAGGCTACAAAATTTGAGAAGCTGCACTTTCTTGTGCTCAATGATTTGTATTTTAAGCCAAGGGACCACCTGTAATTTCACTAAGAATGTCTTCTAATTCGGATACTGGGGATTTACAAGAATCTGTAAAGCACGGACTTACACCTATAGGTAAGTAGGAGTTGCTCTATTTATCATCTATTTATAATTCTGCTACTATATTGATACATGTAACTTGATCTTGTTGATGTATTTAGTATAGGTCACTGCTTTTCCTATTGTGTTTATTAAAAGCACATAAGCCCATGTATATATCACACATTTATCTTTAGTTGAAGTTTAAAAAAAGCAAATGGATATTTCAAGTAGTATCAATTATATCCACTGTTTTTGGGTGTCATTCCATTAGCCTAAAACAGCTAGAGAAAATAAAATGCATCATGTATTAATCTTATCCCTAACATTTTCTAATAATTTTTAATCAGAAATAATAAACTAAAATTTGAACAACTTGAAACAGGGTGGCCACATGGAGTCATCATGGATCAAACTTTAACAAATACTTTTCAAATATTTGTGAGGTTTCAAGCTACACCACAATATGGTGTCTCATTCATTGCAGATATAGAAAATCTTTTCTGACAAATCAAAAAAATGCATAATCATTAAAGATGAGAAGTGAAGGGTAATTTTTTTCAAAACAATGAGGATGTCTTGTTTCTATAAACATAAGTAAATAAAACTAATTTTCATTTTTAAAAAAATGGAGAAGTCATGAACTTGACAGTGTTAAGAGAATATTATTCAGTTAATCCTGAAGGTAAAGGACGACAGGGCGGTCACTCCACTGGTCTGTGATTCCCAGTGTTGGAACGCAGGCCCTTCTGCTTCCCCAGCTTTTCAAGGGCTATGCCTTTTCTAGCACTTTCTTACGCTTTAGGCCCGGGATGTGCTTGCGGGCTCGCTGCGGCCTGGCAGGACCGGAGTCCGGGCTCCCAGAAGGAAAAGCAAAGCTGGGCTTTCCTCTCGCCTCCAATGACCAGCTGGCTCCGCTGGGCGCCGTGATTGTGTTTTTACGGGTCACCTACAGCTAAAGGGTATCAGTTGAGGACACGGTTCCGAGAAAGTGCCCGTCTCACGGGGAAGGAACACCGGGGGGGCGGGCAGAGGGCGACGGACCCGATTGCTCCGCAGACAGAAAGAAAACCCGGGCACAAGGAAGGGGCTGAAAGGGACGCGCGGAGCCGCTGCACCGTGGGTCGCGGGCGCCGAACCCTCGGGGGCGCGCGGGGCCCGGGCCCGGGGTCGGGGTCGCGCGGGGCGATGCGCGCTCGGAGGCGCGCGCGGGGCCGGCGGGGCGCGCACCGGGGCTGCGGTTCCAGGGCCGGAGGCCCCACCGCCCCCCGGGGGAATGAGCGGGAAAGGCGGGGACGGAGGCGCTCGCGTCTCTGCTGCCGGGAAGAGCCGGCCTCTCACCGGCCGCCCCGGCGCCCAGCGCCCCCGCGGCGGGAGCACCGGAGGCGGCCCGGCCCGAGCCGGGGGAGCAGCGCCCGCCCGACCGCAGGGCCCGGGGCCAGCGCCGCGCCGGCCGCACGCCTTAGTCCCGCCCGAGGGGCTGCTCGGACCGAGCCCCGCCAAGCACCGCGGGAGGCGCGCCGCACACCTGCCCAGGCACTTCCGGGCCCGGGGCCCGTGGGGGGCGGGGGGGGGGGGCGAAAGGCCCATCTTCCCGTAAAAGCTCCCGTTTTTGGCTCTCCGGCGCAGGCGGCCGCCCCCTTCCGGCGCAGGCGGCCGCCCCCTCCTTTCCCGGGTACTGCAGCCCCACAGGTGGTTATGAGATGGCCCTGGTGGCAACATCTTAGTCTCCCGGGGTGGCTGTTGGCACCGAGAGTCCATTTGTTCACGCTGTTGCCCCCACGGAGCGCTGAGGCCATTCCCGGGGCTCCTGGCTAGACAGTCACCCAAAGCGCTGACGGAGACGAGGAGGGGACACGTGGAGCCATCAGACTGGACACTTGGACGGAAGGGGCTGACCTCATCCCTGAAGGCGAATTTCCTCTTCCATTTGGGGTCTGGCTGCCCACCGGGAAGAACTCGCAGGTGCAGCCGCAGAGAGTGGGTGGGGAGCGAACGGCCGGCTGGGATGCGGTGGGGAGCGGTCACAGGCCTGATCCCAGGTGTGTGGAGCTCAGTCAGGATTCCCAACTATGGTCAGTTCAGTTGTGTTGTACTAGAATGTGTGTCCGTTTATTTAAAAAGCTGTCTCTGTGGGTCCTAGCTGGACGGGACATTTTCTTCTAGGCATATGGGTGGTTCCATGAAAATTGGGTATAGGTATCTGTACTCAGAGAGAAAAGTGGAAGTAAGCTAACTGTTCTTCAGCCCAACTGCAAGATGCTCAGTGTGACGTAGGAGCCGCAGACTTGGGGTGAAACCAGATCGTTCCCTTAGCGCTAACTAGCTCTGGAACACTGAAATAATTGGTTCTGAGTTAAGTTTTTTTCCTTTTCCCAAGTTGGGTGTTTTTACTGAGTGATAAGCAATACTAATTTAAGAAAGAGAAGGAATAAAGCCTATATCAAAAGAGCCAAGTGTGTGTAACACAAAACATGTCATATAACAAGTATTTACTGATGCTCCTGCACTGTGACCAACACTATGCTTTGTTTTAAATGTCGTTCATTCTTCAGACTAAGTGCATTTATGGAGTATATTACACACCTTCAATATAATATTGTACATTACCCACAGGGAGTTATGTCTACATAGTTGGGGGCACATAATCCAAAATGCAAACACTGTATTGAGCCTGTGATAGGAAGTTTGCTAGCTAGTCCCCTGAGCGCTCTTGGGGCCTGATTTTAGTCCAGTGACAATCTCAGTTAACTCTGCGTCCACGAGGGCCTCTCCACGTAGACGCATGCAGCCCAAAGTGGGAGAGCCCATTATGTCTCTCTGACCTCCAGCTACAGTCACACAAGCCCAAGTTCTGATTGTTGCTGCTGGACCAAGGCAGCCAGTTCCCTCCAGGAAGCTAAGCTCCCGTGCCTCCTCTCTTCCCTGCCCCAGACTGCCTCCAAGATAGTGCTGCCCAGATTCTCTTTACTGGCCTCCATTCACAAGTTGTGACTGGAGTTAAAGGATTTCTTTACTATGTGTCTTAATAAACTCTTGTTTTATTAAAGGTTTATGGAGGGAGGGAGAACAGAGGCTTGGTAATGCTTTTTTCCTTAACTTGACCTCTCCACCCAGACACAATGTCTAGGTTATCTTGGATTCAGCCTTGACCTTGAGATGAGCTAGAGAAGAGCTCTGGGACAGACTCCCACCTGGATGCTTGACCTCCCCGAACCCTCCTGGGAGCCCTCTGCAGGGCAAGGGTCAGAAATCTTGTTCCCCAAGAGCAGAACCTACCTCAGGGTAACAGCTTCTTCTTTGCATGGCACCCCCTCACTCTTCACCTTATCAGAACAAAAAGTTCTCCGAGAAGTCCACGTGGCTCAAGGAACTTCAGAAGTTTGGGAGGCATTTGTGTCTGGGGAAGCCCTTGGGAAGAGTTGAAATAGGACCAGAGTGAGTTTGAGAGACTAAGGGGACTGAAACTGACCAAATTAATAAAGTCTGCCTCTTTCTTGGTCTTTTGGGAAGCTGTGTTATGTGTGTTTTTGTGTGATTGGTAAGAAAAGATATACTTAACTTTTAAACACCTAATAATGTGAATATAGATGAACTTAAGCCGTTTGGTGAATTGAGTCCTTGCAGCCTGACAGTCAGTTAGCAAGTACCTCTCTGCAGGGATCTATCTGTAATGATCCTAGAATGGTTAGTGCTCCCCTTGGTAGTTACCTTCCTTACAGTGGGATGAGTTTGGGTGAAGTAGCAGAAAGGTGAGAAATACAAGCTTATTAACAGCATGCTTTCTGGCACTACCTCATGAACTATAAATTTTACTTTTTTAACCGTATTTTACTGATAAAAAATTTACCAGAAAAGGCCAAGTGATTTACTCAAGATCACTCAGTATGTCAGGAGCGTGAACTGTAAACAGAACTCACGGATTTGATTCTGAAGTCCATGCTCCTTCCTCAAGGTGGTAACTGTTCGCTCTTGTTGATGTAAAGGAATTACAATTTAAAAACAGTGTTGGTCTAACTCAGACTTTCTTCCTAAGGACATTTTGAGATTAAGAAAGTCATTTCTAACTGAGTCTTTATTTTCACATTCGTTGCACAGTGGACATCAGATTTAGATTCCTGTAGAATTCAGGTTGGGATGGGGACGGGGGTCTGGGGCCCCGGGAGAGCGCCTCAAGAGGGAGCCCGGGGGCAGGGCAGGGCGGGGCGGGGGCGGGAAGGCCCTTGACGCCTTCTCCTCGGGATGTCCCTGGAAGGAAGGGTCTCTGGAGTTTGGACGGCAGTTACCTTGCAGGTATGTGCTTACTGTGGCAACTCTCAGGGCTCCTGACAGGGCGAGAAGGGAAATGAGAGAAAATTCAGGGTCATCTATTTGCTACAGAGTTAGTGGGGATGAGGAGGCCAAGAAAATCTCTCAAAATGAGTGACTTTGGAGAGAATATTCTCCACTAAGAAGCAAGTATCCATTAGTTTCCTGAGGGGAGGAGATAGGGAGATAGGTGGTTTCAGCACCCTCCTCCCCTGTTAAAAGCACTTTGGACAAACCCGGGTGTGCCTCCTGCTGTGGGATACTGATCCCACGCTCCGCGCTAATATTTCTCAATAAATGCCGATTCCTTGCCCAAGATCTGAACGTCCACAGACTCTGCCCCGCCATGCGCCGCCTTCCCCAGCGGGCACAAAGAATTGGAAAGAAAATCAGTCGGGACCTGCCACCAACTCTCAGAAGCAACTTCCAGGTTCCAAACAAGAAACCCTGGGGAAAAGCAAATGAATTTGACCCAAGTCTCGGCGAATGCTGGCCACTAGCCCTCAGTCGCAGAAGTTGCCTTTAGGTTGGAGGCCAGCCAACAGCCTGCCCGCGCGATGTGAGTCGCCTCCGGGACCCTAACGTTTTCCCTGCTTCTGCACCCCAAGCCCGAAGGTGGCGATACCACGGTAATTCCCACTTTCTTTGCCGCACAATATGGACCCAAGTTGCAAGACGCCCACCACTCTACCCGGCGCTCCTGGATTTGAGAACTAGCAGCCCGTAGGGCTGGGGGACTTTCCTGGTACATCCCAGCGCTGCAGAAGCGCGGGGATTCCGAAGGTGGGCGGCACGTGACCCCTCCCCGCAGGAGACTTCCAGTCTGGCCCTAAACGCTTGAATGGCAGCCTGGAAGGATCCCGGTTCAGGGCGAGGAGGGGGAGGGGGCCCGGGGAGTGGACCCGCCGTGCAAATCGGCTGGTTCCACTGAGCGCTTGGTGGCCTGCTGGCGCCAGGAGCGTCCCCGAGAACGTCACTCGGTGTTCGGGGCTGTCCCCAGGTGGTTCCCGGAGTGGAGTCCCGCCGCTCGGAGCTGGGGCTGACTCACATCTCCATTTCAATTACAGAGGAAGATGGAGATTAGACTGGACCACCTGCCCAAGACCCAAGATGATCTCCCCTGCCAGCTCCTCTCTCAAGACCGGACCTCCCAGTCCACTCGGAAGGGAACCAGCCTGAAAGGGCAGCGCGGCGCGCCTGGACCCCTGGGGGGCGGCAAAGTGCCCCACGGAAAATGAAGTCCAAAAGCTCTACAGCGTAGCCTTTTTAGCGAAGGCTGCAGATTCTGACAGTCCAAACCCAAAACCTCACCTTTGCTTCAGGGCAGGGGCGGGAGGCTGTTTGGCAGCGGGGGAGGAGCCCGGATTAGCGAGACAATTGCTTCACCTGGCACTTCCCTCCCCAGGAAGGCCGAGATGCGTCTGCGAGCTGCCCTTCCGGGGCAGCAGGGTCTCTCGCGCACTAGCCTGTTGATGATGTCTCAGAGAGTTATGTCCACTTGCAGCAGAAAAGGCTTTTTTTTTAATGAGTCACGACTTCTCACCTATTCGTTCATTTTTCCAAAACGTCGGCTGAACTGCCGTTCCCCAGTAATGCAGACGTCTGTCCCGAAGCGTAACCCCGCTCTTGTTAAAGTGCTCCGCCCGCGGACCAGCCCGCAGGCGGGGGCGGAGGCCCCAGAGCTCGCGAGCTGAACCCAGGAGTTCCTACTAAACCTAATTTGCAGAGAAAGGCAAAAATGACTTCTGATGGGCTTTTCGCGTGGGAGGGGCTGGAAGGTAGAGCTTCAGCTGGCGGGTACATTTGCTTTTCTTTGCCCTCGAGCTATCCCGGCCTAGGAGTGGAGACTCTCTGGGGGTGTGTGTGGGGGAAGTAGACACGTACTACAAGCAGAGTAATACTGGGTTCTTCAAAACACTGAAAAGTAGGAGGGAAGGAGGCGTTAGGAATTGTTTCCAAGGCTGCAGATTTGCAAGTTTCGTGCGAGGCGACTCCCAGGTAGGCGCGCGGAGAGGTAGTCGTCCTCGGGAGCTGTGTTTGCCGAGCCCATGAACCTGAACCAGTCCCGACTTGGGGTCCCTTTGCAGCCTGCACGCGAGGAGCGCGCGGGACCGACCGACACGTCTCAGGTCAGGTCAAGGGCAGGCTGCTCCCGGCGCGCTCGGCAAGGCTGCGCTGACCCGCGGGAAGCTGGAGGCGGGGAGAGGGCGAAGCGGCTCCGTCCTCGCGGGTGAGGAGCGCGATACTCCGCAGCTGCAGCCCGCAGGGTGAGGGGGGCGCACGGCCCCGTAGCGCGGTGCCTGGGTAAAATATGCCAGGGCTGCGCTTCTCGGGCTCATCAAGGCTGCGGGAGCCTCCCCGAGCCATCATCCTTCGTAATTGCAACCGTCAATCAACGCCTTAAGACAGAGTCAGACCCGAAAGGACGAGCCCAGGAGACCGGTCTGGTCGGGAAGAAGCGTGGGGCAAGTGGGGAGAGGAGTCTGCCAGAAGTTGGCAGGAGTGCAGCGCAGAAATTGAGAATGCGCACGGCCGCTACAGCCAGAGGCATCTCCGCGGGCTCCGGGCTGTGGTCTCTGCCACAGGTGAAACGTGCCGCAGCCGGGCTGCGGGTGTCTCCGCTGAGGCAGAGTGGCACAGGAAAGGTGTCCCCGCCGAGGATGGATGGGTCTGCCCGTGCGGGGGCTTTGTTATTCCAAGCCGGTCGGTTTATCTGTCAATCAACCCGGACCACCGCCGGCGTTTGGACCACGCAGGCCCAGTTCCCCTACTCGCAGCCCACCTCACCCTGCGGCCTCGGCAGCCTAGGCCCTTCCCCCAGGTAACCCAGCCGAGGCTCCGCCCCAGCTCTCCTTCCAAGAGGGTGTTCTGGGGGTAGCCTGGGCCGATCCCACACAACAGCGCTAGCGGTTCCCCGGCTCCGGTGGGGCCTCCTGTCCAGAGGAATTGAAACGTCAAGGGGGCAGAGTGAGAGTTGAGAGGGTGGGGAGGGGGGCGCTTGGAGGACAGTGATGAGAGCCGCGTCGGAGGCCTGGAACCGCTGCCCACCCTCTGCGCCTGTCCCCGGGTCGGGGACCCCTTTGCTCCCCTAAAGCCCTTGCGGAATGACTCGGGAAAAGGTGAGAGTGCCCTCGGTTCTCTGAGAGCAACTCCAGTGCAAGATTGACCCCGTCGTCCATCAAGGACGGGTTTCCATGTCCCCGAGGGGATCGGGTGGGGACTGGCCTTAGGGAGCCCTTCCCTTCAAGGACCGGAGGCCTGGACCGCTGAGTCCCTTTGGTTCTCAGAAAAGTGTTCTCTCCTTGAGGTCTCCTGAGTCTCTGGTGCCCTCAGATCGCTGCTAAGTAAGCAGAGTGGTCAGCCTGGACTAGAGCTTCAAAATAAGGTGAAAAGGCCTTGGGCCTTTCCTCTCTGCTACGACGGCGGATTTTCTTAAGGGAAGATTTTTAAAACCTTTTCCTTAGCCCCTATTCTCCCCCCGCCCTGTGGGGAGATAAATGAATGCCAGCTGGCCCTCTGTCACCATCGCTCCTGGTGTTGGAGGGGTGTGAAGGGAGGGCAGGCTGTTCTGGACGGAGGAGCCACTCGCGTGGCCAAGCAAGTCCCCTTCTGGGCTGACGCTGGGTTAATAATGTGAGCACATCCCCTTGGTGAGGTCAGGCTCAGCCTCAAGTCTGGGTTCCTGCCACACTGCAGCTGCACAGTCCTGTCAGACCCTCTTTCTACTCCTTTCAATTCTCCTGACCTCCTCCTGCTTTCAGCCAGAGGGCCTTCCCTCCCACACCGAGGGCTGGGAGCTCCCCCTCTGGGGAGGCTGGAGTCCCCAGAACTGGTGTTTGGGAAGGTGCAATGTAAGTGCCCCCATAAGCTCTTTGCAGGGAGAGGAAGTTGTTTCTAAGGTTTTGCAAAAAACTGATGTTCAAAGCTCACCTGAATCCACAGGCAGACTTTGCAGGCCCTGATGCGGGGGCCCTGAGACTTAACTCCCTTTCTGGGCTATGTAAGTATAGATTCTTAATTCACAGTCAAATTTAAAATAACTAGTAATACTGAAAATGGATTGACAATGACTTGATACCGTCATGAGAATCTGAGCCTCTTAAGGGTCGCTGATCTTGGCAGCTTCAGCCCCACTCCACTTTACAAAGTAAGGGGCAGCCCCCTCCCCCACCCCAAGTTTAAATGTTTTCATGAAACCTGATGACCTACTAAAACTGAAATGTAAATGACTTAGATTTAGAATATATACTGAGGAGCAAAATGACATCCGTTTAGAGAGCCAACAGTATCTTAAAGGCCTGAGTGGGCGATGAACAGCCCATTTCCTATGAAGAGCGACTTACGCAGGGCAGTGATTGGAGTATTTTTCCATTCATCAAATACCGGACTGGGCAGCTTGTGTGTGATCTCTAGCCACTCAAATAACAAATTCAGATCTTTTGAAATTCAAATTCACCCCCTTGTGGGTGGACTCTGATAATTACCCCGTCTCCCAACAGACCCCGAGTATGAGGCATTTCAGCAGTCAGGAGTCTGGGAAAAAATGTTTTTCATCTCGTTGGGATGAGATATGAAAAACTTTGACGATCCGGTGGGGTGGGTGGTTGAAGAGCTTGCCCAGCAGATGGTTCTTTAGAACTTTTAAAAGGGCTGAACCTCTGGGCCTCTTGTGGGTCGTCCCACCGAAGACACACCAGACCGAGAAAGTAAAGCCCAGACTGGTGCTTGTTTTCTATACGGAAACACGGTTCACTATAGTTTAGGAAGCGTGCCGCCGCGGTAGCGTGGAGCTGCAGGGGGTGGGGGGCTGGGGAGAGGGAGGGCGGGGGCCGCAGCCAGTGCGCAGGGAACTGGGGACGAGGGGGGAAACGGGAGGAGCTTTCCTCAAATTTCCGGCTAGTGAGTGACCTCCCGGCGGCGCGGCGGTCCCCTCGACGGGCCAGGGAGCCGGGGCGCTCGTCCGGTCCAGGGCGCCCGGAGCCCGCGGCGGGGCCTCTCCGCGGCCTGAGCGCCCAGGAAGGCTTAGCCGGAGACCCGTGCGCGCAGGCCAGCCCCTCTTTTGAGAACATCTCTCCTTTAGGTTGTTGGAATGGGTGTTTAGCTCCCCCTCCAGCCCCTCGCCCGACACACGCGCGGGGCAGCCCCACGCCCGCCCCTCCCTGTCTGCCTTCCCCTCGGCTCGCGGAAATCGCCGCCTGGCTTCCCCAGCCGCCGCCGCGGCGCTCAGACAGAGGTCGCCTCGCACTCGCTGTAAGACCCGCGGCGCGGACGTCCCCCCGCCCCGGGCCGGGGTGGGGTGGGAGGGGGCTGGGCGGGGTGGAGAGGTTGGGGCCGGCCCCGGGGCTGCGGCGGGCGCCTCGTCCTCATTGGCTGGCGGCCGGTCCGACCCGAGTCCGGAGCCCGCGTCCGCGTTCACTGTCATCTGCGCGCATCGCAGTCCGGCCGCACTTACCTGCCCCGCGCGCCTCGCCGTCCGCCCTTCCTTCCCGGCCCGGCCCCCTCGGGCTGGAAGCGGCCGCTCTGGGACGCGCGGGGGGGGTGGGCCAGGCCGCCGAGGGAGGTGGAACTTCCCAACTCCGCACTTGCAGCAGCGCACGCGGGGCAGCGGAGGCCGGGGAAGGGGCGGGGAGACGAGGAGGGCGGCCGGGAGACCCCGGCCGATTCGCAGCCGCAGGCGGAGGAGGGAGGGCGGCAGCCGCAGCTCCGCGGCCGCCCCGCCGCCCGCCCGGACTCGGCTGCACACGGATCCGCGCCCCGGGCGGCTGCGCCCTCGCCGCCGCCTGCGCCCTCGCCGAGGCGACCCGGGTCGCCGGACGCAGCCTCGCCTCGCCTCGTCTGTCTCCTCCCCGCAGCTCGGGGACGGCTCCGGAGCTGCGACGCTGGACGGGGCTCCGGGGTCCGGACCGGCAGCCCCGGAGGCGGCGGAAGCTCCGCGCCTGCGAGCGGGTGGGTGAGCGGGCGCCCTGGGCGCCCCTTCCTCCCGCCGGCGTTGAATCTGTGCTGCCCGTGTCCAGGTGCTGGGCTTCCGGACGGACGCGGACCCCCTGCCGCCGCACGGAGCCGCCGGGCCATGCTACCCAAAGCGGAGACGGAAGCCCTGGGCCCGGCGCGATCGCATGGGGAGCAGGGGCGGATGCCCGAGAACATGCAAGGTAAGGCGGCGCCGGCGGCGCTGGGGGGAACGGCGGGCGCCCGCAGCCGGGGGCCGGGGCAGCCGGCGGCTCGGGCCCCTCCCCCGGGGCAGGCGGAAAAGTTTATGGCTCCGGAACAATGCGGGGCGGAGGTTCTCCGAGCCGTGCTTAATTGGCCGCTTCTAATTAATTCGCTTCGAGCTCTATGGCAGCCCGAGGTGGGCATCTTCGGACTGAAGGTAACTTAAAATAAATCATAAGGTCATTCTAAGAAATGGAATGTTTCGCCGGAAACCCGCGCAGGTTCTCATTCCCTGGTATCGGTGGGAATCTGAACCCATGCCCTTGAGTGGAGGAAAAACGCTCTGCCCGGGACAGTCTCCTTACAGAGAGACAAGGCGACTCCGGGAAACCTTGTCCAAGGTTAGAGTGCAGGTGGCACCCCAGAATTGGGGGGCGGGGGGGGGGACAGCCGGAGCCGGCCTGAAGAATTCCCGCAACCCCATCGTCTGCGCGGGGGCCGCCGAGCGGGCCGAGGGGTCGCGGCTTCGCCCAGAGCCGCCTCCGCAGTGCGAGAACTGGGGATGTGGAAGTCCTGTTCGTTTGGTTGCGAACAACAAAAAAAGGCAATCCCGTTGGCTGTATTTTCGCCGCATTCCCAAATACCGGCTCCAGATCTGGCTGGACTCGGCCCTTCGTAAGTTTCCCGCAGTTGCTCTGGGAAGAACAATGCGAGGAGAAGTCCGCGGCGCCCCTCCATCCTCGCCCCTTCCAGCGCGCAGGACGTGCGGGCCGGCGCGCCTGTGATCCCCGGGGCTTCCTGCCGTCCCCCGGGCGGACTTGAAAGGGCCGGGGCGGTGTTGAGAGCGAAGTTCGCGGTCGCGGCGCGGGGTGGGTCGCCCGCGGCGCTGGGAAGCGCGGTAGCGGGAAGGCTGCGTGGTGCCCGGGGGCAGGATCCCCCCGCGAGACGAGCTGGTGGTTGGGAGGCTGGACCTGGGGAGAGCCTCGTCGACCCCGAGGCATTCCCGCGGCGCCTGGGATCCCCGCGATGCGTGCGTGGAGGGAGCGGCGCCGAGAGGGGATCGGGGTCCCCCGTGCGCCTGTGGGGCTGGCGCGACTCGTGGTGCAAAGGAAAGTTCCTGCTTTCTCGTTCCTGCTTTCTCGTTCCTGCGCGCGCATTAATGAGGGAGTCGAGGAAAGTAGCCCAGGGGAGGTAGAGGCAGAAGTCGGGAAGGCGAGAATAAGGGGTTTGGGGTGGGGGAGAGCGAGAGGGAAAAGCCACGGTAATGCTGCTTCTGCAAAGTTCGGGAGGGGCTCTCCGCGCGCCCTTGTGCCCAGGGCCCCGGAGGCGCCGGCGGCCGCTCGCTCAGCCTCGGGTTCGAGAGCAACGTGGAAGCGCCCGGGCTCAATTTCCGCCATACCGCGCGGCCTGCCCCTGGAGAAGAGCCGCTGGGGACGGGGACCCCACCCCACGCCTGCTCTGGCCTCCGGCAGGGACCCCCGGGGCGCCCACCAAGAGGCCGGCCCCTGCGTTCCGGGGCCGCGTCTCCGCCCGTGTCCCGCTGCCGAGGCCCCCAAGGCCCCACCGTGCCCTCTCCTTTCTCAAGACGGGACTCTGCCCCCGGAGTCGGTCCTCCAAACGCCTGCCTGGGCTCCAGCACCCGGGAGGCTGACAGATGCCCGGGTTGCGCCCGGCGGCGTCTGTCTGCCCGCACGGCCTGTCTTTGAGTTTTCCAGGGGGGCCCTCACACCCAACCCCGGTCTCTTCGGCGTCAGATCCCCGAGGTGGGCACCGAGGCCCCCTGTAAACGGCTGCCTTACCGTGCCCCCTAGGTGCCGGGTTAACTTTGGGGGGGAGGGGAATGGGAGAGGAAGAGAATACACTTGGGAAAGCAGCCTTTTTTCTGTCCCTAAAACATGTCTCAACCCTGGTAGCGACTTTTAAGAGAGACGGGGCTGTAAACGAACTTGCGAGCCCTCCGTCGGCGCCCCCGGGCCCCCAGGTTCCCAAACCCGAGGCCGGGCTGCGCTCGGCATCCTTCCCCTGTGTTGCCCGGAGCCCAGCGCCCGCCCCACCCCGCGACCGTCTCGGGAGGCTGCAGAATCCTTAGAGAAAAAAGAAGTTTATTTAAAGAAAAAGAAAAACAAAAACTGAAGTCTCTAGCCGGAGTGGCCGGGGAAGTTCGGGGATGGGGTGGGCCGGGGGCTCTTTCTCTCTTTCCTTTTTGGTAAACAAATCAGAGGAAACTTCGTCCCGCCCTGCCCCCTGCAAACGGCCACTGATTAACTTAAAACAAACTCGGCGGGGTTGGTGTGCCTGCAGCCGAGCAAGGGTCGAGCCGGGCCGGAGGCGAGTGCGCGCCGGGGTCCCGCAGGACGCGCCGCGGCCCCGGCTTCCCCCCGCGTGGACGCGGGCCCGGGGGGGTCGATCAGGTATCATCCGGGGCGCTTGGCCGTCGTCCTCGGCCGCGGACGCCTGCCCGGGCTGCGCCCCCCGAAGCGGTTACCCGATCCCTCGGCGAGCGCGCAGCGCCCCCGATTCCGTCTGACTGTAGCAGGGCGATCTCGGGGTGTTCGTATTTTGCGGTGATGATCGGAAACGTGTGAAGTTCATTACAGGACTTAACACACTATGGGACGAAACCAAAGCCTCCTGTGTGTCTCTCTCTCTGTCGCCCCTTTTTTTTCTTCCGGACGCCCTCCCATTCTCCCTTTATTTTCATAGGCGGTGCAAGTATCCAGGACAGGAGTCCTATCAGTACGGAACTGAACGTTTCGGTTAATCTAACACAGCTGTCAAAGTGGGGCGGCTGCTGAGAAGCAGGGTTCTGGGTCTTTAGTTGGCGGTCAAGTATTTGCAAATGGCCGTGGTGGTCTCCCAAGCGGGCACTTACGGTGGGATTGGGATTGTCTTGTGCGCTTGTGACATTTTGGAATTTCACATGAAGGAGATTTAAAAGAAGTTCCAAATTATCAAGTTATTTAACTCATGTTTCTATGTGACAAAGTTAGGAGATTTGTGTTCAACAGTGGTCAGTTAAAAAAAAAGTTTTTTTAAAAAAGTTGGAATTATTTTTAAATTAAAAAAATAGGAAATGCATGCTCATTGGTACCAAATGATGTTTTACTTTCACTGTGTAAAAATAGTTCTCTTCAGTACCCCTGGGTAAAAACGATTTTGATTTTATATTTTGCCCAGTGATATTTGCCCGCCAATCACCAAAATGATTTTCACTGCAGGATTCACCCTTAACCTAGTAAATTAATTGGGCATGTGCATACATTTCTCATTTCAGTGTCTCAGTTTAAAATGGTGAATTACTCCTACGATGAAGATCTGGAAGAGCTCTGTCCCGTGTGTGGAGATAAAGTATCTGGGTACCACTATGGGCTCCTCACCTGTGAAAGCTGCAAGGTTGGCTTTACACGTTGCTATCTGAGAAATACAATGTTTAGAATCCAAATAACCATTGGACTGTTTTTTAAAGCTAAATTTGGGCTGTCTTTTTTAGACTCACACATAAGAGAAAGAGTCAGAGGGAGATGATTCTTAGAAATACGTGCTTGATTTAATTCGAGGCAAAGAAATTTATGCTGTTCAAAAAACTTTGCCAGACTCCTGCTTTAAAATATTTTATTGTAGTAAAGTGACGTAGCTGTGGGAAGACTTTTATTTCCAACAGTCCTAAATATTGATTTTGCTTGACTTATATATATTTAAAGCATCGTTGTTCTTGAGAAGGGACCATGACAGAGTATTTCCCAAATATTTTTTAGGTTCAGAGTGTTCTGTGCTACAAGTCTCAGTATTTTTTATCCATAGATATAAAAGTCTAAATTCTCAACTGTGTGATTTCATCCTGATTTATTCCAAAAATATTTTTAAGGTTTTTTAAAAACTTTATACCATAAAGAATAAGAAACCAGGTCTTAGTTCATAAAGTTTTCATAAATAATAGTATATGACCTATTTAAATGCAAGAAATTTTAACATGAGAAAGGTACTGTTAGTATTTAGTACTATTAGAATTAGAAAAGTACTATTAAAATTTAAATGCAAGAAATTTTAACAAAGAAGGTATTAGTATTGTTACTAATATTATCAACTATCCATTCAGGATTTGTCTCAGCTACTTCTTATAGACCCCCAGTCAATTTGATACTTGGTATTTTCAACATTTTTTAAAGTAGAAATCTCAGCACAACTACTTATGCCACTGCCAGGAAAAGACCTTCATTCTTTATAACAAAGTAAGATTATTTCACTTCATGGCTAGTAAGGTAAACAAAGAATATACCATCCTGGTAAAGCTGTTATTATTTGTGATTAATTCTTTTGGGTGTGAAATACAAGGCCAGGATCGATTCTGCTGAAATTCAGCTTTCTACTCTATATGCTTTCCTTTTCTATCAGTTTCACCTTTTTTTTCCACAGAGTTCTCCAACTTGAATCTATTCCAGTAGAATTATGAATATTTTCTCCATTTTACTCTTTAAATCCTTTCCCTTTTAACTATGTAGTGTTGGCATTTGTAAAAGGCCTGAGGTGTTTTGCTGTTCAGTTTTTCCACTGATAGTTCACAACAGTTTCTCTCTGAAACTGTATCAAACTACTGAAAAACAACACAGGTCTCCATGAGTACCTTATCTGCAACATGAAGGTAAATAGGAAAACAAATTTTTAAAAAATGAATGGTCAGTGCAGAAGGTAATTTTTCTCTGAGTGCTGAGATGAAATGGTGTGTGGCCAGATCTCCCCAAGATTTGATGTCATTCTTCAGGAATATAATTCTGATGACAGAAAAATCTCCAGTCTGATCTGGCACTATTGAGGAGGGTTGATCTTGTTAAAATGTGTAACAAACCACAGAACCACCTAAAAGCTGAAATGGAGCAATGAAAGGATTTACTGTTGATTTCCTTAAAATGAAACAATGGAAGAGACCGGTGTTAGATTTATGTCTCACTATTTTCTCTGTCTTATAGGGATTTTTTAAGCGAACAGTCCAAAATAATAAAAGGTACACATGTATAGAAAACCAGAACTGCCAAATTGACAAAACACAGAGAAAGCGCTGTCCTTACTGTCGGTTTCAAAAATGTCTAAGTGTTGGAATGAAGCTAGAAGGTAAGGTTCTTCTAAAGACTACTGCCTGTTAAAACTCTGGAAAGACATAGGATTTGAAACAACATTGTACTTATAACATGGTAACATTTTCTAGTCTTAATAGTACTGACAATAATGTAAGATCTTTTTATGTTTTGTCAGCAGGATAATCTGAGTCTCATTTAAACACTGGTGCAATCTACTAGGAAAAAAATTTTATACTCAGTTTCCCCTTTCCACCTTGTTTGTTTGTTAGGGACCAGATGCATTTGATACAAAAAGGTCAGGTTAGATGAAAACAAGACTACAGTGATTCAGTTGAGAACAAATGAAAGTAATATGCAAAAATAGAAAAAAAAATCTTTCAAGTTTCAAAATCAGGATGCCCCAGTAATGTTTAATTTTAAATGGAATCAGTCTTTTGAAAAGGTATGCTTATCGTAATTATTAAAATTAATTTCATGATTCCTAAATTAGAGTGAAAGACTTTGATTATAAAAAAATCTTTCTCGTGTACAGATGTAGAGTTATCAACTGTGGTAGTGTGGGAAAGCACTTTTTTTTGGCTAATGATGGCGTCTGCAAAATAAAATTTGAGAAGCAGGAAACATGAAAAATAATGAACTATTGAATCAGTAGCATTGGTCTGACAAGAAAAGAGAAGGTTCCTCAAAAGCCACATTAAACTTTATGTTGAAAGAGCAGAACCTGTACTTAAAATGTACAGATTGGCAGGCAGTAAGGTTAATATGTGACTGCTGTAAATAACTTGTAGTTCAGGGACTTTTAGGGGGTGTTGCTGGTTTTCAGCCTCTGACCTACCACTGACTTTCCACAGATTACATACACTGCTAATAAAATAATAAAAAGGGATACGTATCACTGATAGGTGCCAGATTCAAGAGGGCATTTTATTGGATCAATGAGGCACAGGCTAGTTTTTTTTGGAGCTTTTCTGTTACATGGCACTCAGACTTGAATGAAATACTTTAAAAATTTTCAAATAAATCTGCTGCATTCATAGCAGATTCCTTCCCAATAGAATTAGCCACTTGGATTATAAGAACTTGTAAATCACTATTGCTTTTAAGAAGAGATTGGGAAAAGGTGTGATCCATACTTAACAGATTTCTTTATTACTGATCACTTTATTCTTTCCAAACAGCAAAATACTGTGGTAGGTGCTTGCTATAATTATGACACTCAGAGGAGAAAATGTTAAAAATTAAGTGTAATTTCACATGATGTTAGCTTTTTTTTTTAGCAAAAGGAGAAGGTTGCATTTCTTTATCTTAAAAAGTATGCTTTCTTAACTGTAAGTCACTACTTGCTTCTTAACAGTGGTATGACACAATTGAACATTTAGTTAATTATAATTCAGATGAAAAACTATTTTGCAGTATTCTGGGTACCTAGCATTCACAATAAATCTTTAATGCTATACTAATCCTAAGATAAGAAGCTCAAAAACTTAACCTCCAGCAATTTCGACATGTCACAAGCTGTCAAAGAGGTTGCTGTTTTCTGTCCAGTCGCCATTGGCCACTGCAAGGGAACTGCTCGCTGACTTCATAGACATGCCCGACCCTACACAGCGTTGTGATGGGGGACTGTCAGGACAGCTTCTGAAATCAATCTTCCGTTAGGTCCACTTCTGCTTAAATCAAAACTAGTAACTGATGCGTGACTGAGATGGGTTCCTCAAATTCAGGTGAAAATGATTTTTTCCAAGAAAAGCATGTACCCAAACCTTTGGCGGCAAGTCAACCAAAATGGCTTTGAGGGAGGAAGATATTCACAGGGAAAATGATCACAGTTTGATCCAGAAACGGGTTCATTGATTTTTTGTGGTTCCTCTCCGCAGTCTGGGTTCTGCAAAGAGTCCCAGGGTAACTGGCATAATAGGAAATGATGCTCTTTCTTAGTAATGGGTCATGTCCCCCATGTGTAAGCGAACAGGATGAAATCTCTTCAGTCCTCCAAAGGGTTACTATGTTCCGACGAATCCAAAATACTTTTTTGATGACAAACACACTTGGAGGAAAGAATTCATAAATAAAGAGGACGTGGCTTTCTTTTCTTTTTTTTGGAATCTTTGTGAGCTATTGTAATGAAAACAAGCACACACATAGCAGTTCTGGTCAGTTTTTGACATGAAATTACAAGTATCCGGAGATGTGGAAAATGCTAATAATTTGCATCTAACTTATACCCTGACTTCCTTTTTGTTCCCGACAGCGGTGAGGGCCGACCGCATGCGCGGAGGAAGGAACAAGTTCGGGCCAATGTACAAGAGAGACAGAGCTCTGAAGCAACAGAAAAAAGCCCTCATCCGGGCCAACGGGCTCAAGCTGGAGGCCGTGTCGCAGGTGATCCAGGCGATGCCCTCTGAGCTCGCCATCTCCTCGGCGATTCAGAACATCCACTCTGCCAGCAAAGGCCTACCTCTGAACCACGCTGCCTTGCCTCCCACGGACTACGACAGAAGTCCCTTTGTAACGTCGCCCATCAGCATGGCGATGCCGCCTCCAGGCAGCCTGCAGGGCTACCAAACCTATGGCCACTTCCCTAGCCGGGCCATCAAGTCGGAGTACCCCGACCCATACACCAGCTCCCCGGAGTCGGTCCTGGGCTACTCCTACGTGGACAGCTACCAGACCGGCTCGCCGGCGAGCATCCCCCACCTGATCCTGGAACTGCTCAAGTGCGAGCCGGACGGGCCTCAAGTCCAGGCCAAAATCATGGCCTACCTCCAGCAAGAGCAGGCCAACCGGAGCAAGCACGAGAAGCTGAGCACCTTTGGGCTTATGTGCAAGATGGCTGACCAAACCCTCTTCTCCATCGTGGAGTGGGCCAGAAGTAGTATCTTCTTCCGGGAGCTGAAGGTACGTCCTCTGCTCTTACAGCTGTTACTGCCCCATTCAAGAGTCCCAACTCTGTTCCTAGTTAACTCATCTTGGTTCTGAGAACACAGTTTTTCCTGGTTTTTCTTCCCTGTATGATTAACACAGTAGAAGAGTTTTATGATCTTGGCTTCGGGACTGTAGCAGCTTAACTTTATGGGACTTTTATTTCATGGATTTCATGGAGCTCTTAATTTTGCGGGCATGGCAATTAGTGTGAAATGAAGGGAAATTACTTCTTTTTCTCACTACCAAAATGTCTTTTCTTCCTCCCTTTAACTCAAGGGTTTATGGCTAGAAAATTTAAATTGAGCTTAAAAGACCAAGAGCTCTCTTGTAATGGTGCCAAGTTTAAACCAAACAATGCCGATGTTTTGTTGTGTCCAGACCCCAAAGGTGATACCACTAGTTAGTAGCATCAAGTAGGTATTTACTGCCTGTTTACCTCGACGTTAGGTCGGTGAAGCCTTTGTTTTCGGAGCAGATTCCGAAAGGATGCTGCCGAATGTCACAGGATGGGGAGCTTACTGGTCTCGGCTCGGGTTTTAGTTCTCGTCCATGTGGGGCGTCGAGTTTAATGAATCGGTACATTGTAAACACAGTACTTGTTTGTATAAGGATCTCCGTTTAACTACATAATTATTTTATTTCCTGAAACTTAAGACTGAATTAATATAGGAAAGTTACAGAGAAGTTTGGGATTTCAGAGTAGCCAGCAAACCACATTTGGTTTCATTCTCTGTTTTAAAAACAAAAGTGAATCCTGGATTTGATATGGAAGTGTAGTACCTCTTACAAAATGAATTTCTTGTATTGGGGGAGGTATGGCTGATGAATATCCGAGGGTTCTGATCACCTAGGACTTTTGGAGGAGATGCAAAAATTTCTGAGAAGAGGACAGTGCAAAGCAGACTTAAAGGGTTACTGTTCAAAGTCATTTGTGCAGACGGCCCAGGGACTACGGGAGCCACACAGAAATGGAAAGTAGTGCTTTTCCCCACAGTCTTCAAGCACTGACTTGTAAATGGAAACAAAAAATGGTATCTGGAATCAAGTCTGTAGAATACCTGACACTGCTGACGGGTCCTGCTCTGGACTCTCCCGTCGCTTACTGCTGCCTCACAAGGTGGCTGGGCTGGAGGGATGTGGCCGCCCAGGGCAAGGAATGCATTTGTCACAGTCGGGCCAGATATTTTCTGAGGATGTAAACACTCTCTGATAATTGGGGCGGTTTTCATTCAAAACACAAAAAAAACTTTCCTGGTGTTCTTACAGTCACAACTTTGTCCTTAAGAGAACAGGTAAGGTATTTGAAAATGAAAATGGTCATTTTAGATCCGGCTGGACAGTTAGGAAATGTGAAAAGCAAGGAAGGCAGGCCTTAGCAGGCAGCTGGGTTCAGCGTGGATTGTGTCTCCCCTGCTTCCTGACCGTGGACAGGCTGTCAGTCTGCGAGCTGTAGTTTCTCCCCTGTGAAATGTCCACGTGGTGGTCATTGGTGGGGAGGGGGACTGAGAGAGGTAATCGCAGTTCCACTGAGGAGGTTTTGCAAGGAATGCATGAATGAGACCCCGTGGGCAAAGCATCTAGTATTCTACTCAGTAAGCCAAGGGCTGTTTTAAAATTGCTATTTATTTTTTCATGAAAAGCATGTGGAAGCTTTGCATAATACGGTCTCATATGCAAGGAAAAGAGCACACACTTGGACTCCGACTAGCTGGACCCTGGGAGACTGTCGTCCGTGTGCTAGAGTGTTGTAATTATATAATCCGTCACTGACCTCTGCTAGGTGAGGACCTAAAAATTGCCAGACAGTAAGTTTGGTATAAAATGAATACAAAGTTGAGGAAGACAGATTGTTCCTTTAGTGGTAAGACAGTTCCATAAATATCAGTTTTAAAAAATAAGAGACTGCTGAGGTTGTGCTTCATGAATTGCCGGGGAAAGAAATGGTGCAAATTATTTACATGTAAGAAAGGAAATGTTCTGAAGTGAATGTAAACAGCCACAGAAGGACTCCTTTAAGAGTGTTAGGGGAACAACTCTCCCTCCAAATCTCTCTTCTTCCCCCTGTAGCTAAATTCTATGAGATTCTTTCTAATATTTGGCTAAAAAAATAAATACCCTTAGAAACAGGGCATGTTAAAGCATCAGCAGTCATTTATACTGTTGCTTATTGCATTCATCAGTCTTTCATGAGAATATGCTTTCAAAAAGGAAAGGGAAAAGACATACAAAAGGGGGGGAGTGCCCACCATGGGTGGGGGGCACCCCCAGGAAAGAGACAAACGTGACCCACTGCAGTCTGCCCTACATTCAGAGGAGCCATTCACTTGAAGTATTTTTCCCAGGAGAAGGAGAATTCGAAATAATGTAGAGATAGTTTAAATATAGAGTTGTGTGTGTGTGTGTGTGTGTGTGTGTGACTATTTGCATTTGGCAGAATTCCTTTTCCCTTTTATTTATTTATGAATTTCCTTTGTCAAAAAACTGAGCAAGTTGTTTGAAGCCAACACTGAAAAATGTGGGTTGCAGTGTTTTCTCCAGGCCGGGGGCTTTAGAATTTTTTAACTGTGACCTGCAGTCAGAGATACATTTTACATGGGAACTCGGTGTACCGAACGTAGTCACACACACATGCGAAGTTTCTGTCGACAGCACATGACGTCCTCCGTGCCATTCACTCGATACTTTCTGTTCTGTTCTTCTTTAGTCCAGTTTATTTCACGTTTTTTAAATTTCTGGTCGTCACCCACAAAAATGATTTCATGACTCACTAATGAGGCATGACCTGCAGTACAGAAACATGATTCTACGGAAGGTTTTGTGGGCCATGCGCTGTACGTTGCCAGCCTGCCGTCACTAAGAAAACTCCTGAAAATGGCTTCCTCCTCCTGACGTGGCCTCCGAGACATCCCTGGAGCCTGCAGTCCACTCCCTGCCCTGCCTTCCTGCAAAAGTTATTTTTTAACACTATTGGGGAAGATAAATGCTCCTCATTAAACATTTGTCTATTTCTTGATAACTTGACAGCAAATTACCCATGGAGAGAATTACTTAGAGGGCAGATCACCGCAATGAAAGTCCGCGTATTCGTTCCTGGGGAGTAATAGGGTAATAAGGCAATTTTGCAAATGCCCCCGTGCTCATTCTCCCAGGACAAGGTACCCTCTCTACCATGTGTAAGCGGAGAGGACACAAGATTTCATTTGTTTGCAACTCACAGGAACAGAAGAGCCAGAGGAAATAAGTTGTTTAGTTTTTCTATTATGTCGCTGAGGTGCAAAAAAGATAACTCTAGTTCCTATTCAAAATACTGAAATGAGAAAAGAGGAAATGACAGCTCCCAAACCTGCAGCTTATAAAATAACACATTAACAACAAAAGCAAAACAAAACAAAGCAACGCAGTCTGAGAGGTGGAAGATGATCAGAAAGAAGGGGGGACACAGGACCCAGATAAGCAGCCGTCTTACTTTTCTCTACACCTGTAAGGGAGGGCCAATTATAATCTCCACCACGATGATGAGAAAGACAAAATAAACGCTGCAACTAGTAGCTTACTAAAAAAGCACATGTGCATCAAAAGATACTCCTTGTCTAGAACTCACAGATTTTCCAGATTCAGAAGAGATCATGGAGATATTTGACCCTCCTCTTCTTCCTCCATACGAAGAAACTGAGGCAGGAGTGGAAATGACACTTGTCCAAGATGACAGAGCTCCCGAACAGCAGAGCTGAAAATGGGAGACTGAGGTTCAAAGGGATAGTACATGTGCATGATCCCCTCCCCACCACCCAACACACACTCACGAATAGGGTAACCTTTGACTCCAAGAACACAGGCCTTTGCTAGTGAAGCTAAAGCATATCTCTGGGTTATCTGAAGTCCGTCACTACCGTGCAATTACTTAATCACTAATAATGAGATTTTCTCTGAGCCCAGACAGCCCCCCGGGAGTGAGAGAGTCACATTAGAAAGCTACAGTAATTTTTCCAGGCCACCGGGGAATTGTGGCTCTACCAGCAAGCACTGCTGAGCCTGCAGAGAGTGTCTGGCTCTCCTTCTGCTCGAGGGCTCAGTCTTCTGCATGTAGTTTACTCGCTGGGAGAATCGGGTTCCGCAGCGACATAGGGGTTGTGCTCAGCAGTTAAAATAGCTAAACCCACGGTTATATCCTGTGTGCATTTGAGCTGAGCATGCTAAGCATGGAGTACTTCTCATGTACGTTTGTGAAGAGGCTGGAAGAGAATGTAGGATTGTAACCAGGTGACAGAGGAGCCACTAATTATAAAATATTAGGAAGTATCTTACATTCCTTGCACCTTCTAATCTTTAAACCGTATCTGTCTTACAGTATCTATACTCTTTATGTTTTCCATTTGCTTTTGGGAATCAAGCAAATTCAAGGCCTCCTCTTAATGCTGAAAGAGCTGTCTTTGTGAGTTAAGAAGATCGTACATTTTCTTTAGGTTATTTTTCCCTCCTTTGTCTCTCAAATATCTCACAAACACAAGAGCAGAGAGAAAACAATTCCCACTTTGTTGAACAGCTAATGAATCCGGAGGATCTATTTGATCTTCTAATGAGACCAGGCGTCTTTAAGAGGGTTCTGGGAATGGATATGTAAGAAGCTCCCCTCGATGAATGATTCTGATACATGTAGGAATAACAAAAAAAAAAAAACTAAATTAATCCTGACTGAAACCCATAACTAGCATTTCTGTGGAAAACAGGCCTCAGAGACTCAGGGAGTTTGTGCCAGAGGAATTCAGCCATGTGGAAGCCAGTTTCCAAGTACCCTTTTTTTCTGGCCTGCTCTAGAAGCTTTTGCAGCAGAGCTTCATTTATTTACTTTTAAAATTCTAAATACCTTTTCCCAAACCTTTGCCTCCCCCAAACAGTGCAGGTCTGTAGACTGAGATTCACCGGCTCTGCCCCAATTTTAAATTATATTCTTCAGCAGCTTAGCCCTTCTTCTC